TCGGGTAGATATCGTCCCCTCTCTCTCTCTCTCTCCCTCTCTCTCTCCGCCTCTTGTGCTCTCTCTTGCTCAAAGTTCGTGTTGCGCTTCCAGTCACTGTTTTGTTCGCTGGCTGATCGGAACGTCTGATTTGGATTACTTCTTAGTGATTTGTTCTTCCTTTGTGGCGTGCTGAGAATAGCAACGAAAGTGCCTAAGAAAAAAGTAATAGTTTGCTAAATGTGAAACAATTGTTTCCAGGTTGTGTAGTGTGCGAGGAGACCTGTGTCCGGGTGCTCCAGACGCAGCAGTGTCTTAAACCAGTGTAAAATATATAAGTGAAAAGTGTTAATAGGTTTAACAACTCGCAACGCAGTGAAAATTTGTGGAGGAAAAAAAGATGTAGGAATGAACAATAGTAAGGCAACCCAAGTGATATGAAAAGCAGTCTTATATGTGTATAAGACATATAATATAGGCAGTAAACTGTACCACGATTTGTTCATGGCACAAATAGGCAGTAAAGTGTACGATAGTTGTGAAGACTTTAACACCGATGTTCATTGGCTAAGAAAATGAGAATCCCCATTTGAAGTCGAAATGGGGGGTGTTTACACCAATGATATTTGTGACATTTGTGCATAACAAAGAAAGTTGAGTTTGTGTAGCGATAACTTGCGAGTGCTTGTTCCGTGTTGATACTTGTTCCATGTTGGGGTGAGTAACGACTGTTATGGCTGGCATATCTTGTACTGCGGTCAGATCACGAAAATACCGTGGCTAATTATGCCGTGTGTGTAATTAGTGGCTTTATAAAATATACAAATACTCTACCTACTAAGTAACCACTGTAAACTGAACCACTGTTTATCTTATAAATAATTATTAGTATTATTAAAGTATTATTACGAGTTCTTTTTGGCCTGATAAGCAAGTTTTAACATACATTAAAATGCATTGGCCATCGAGCGTGATGGCCAATGAAGCAATGTGTAACAGCAGGATAATTTAATCCTACTCCGGATAGGGATTATCCTGCTAAGGCTGGATAGTTGTGCTGACGCCGGGTAATAGTGCTGAGAGCGAATCATAGTGTAGGGATTGGTATCAAGTAGTTGTCATGTGCCGATGTTGGAAAGCTCAAAGAAGTGATCAATTTATTATAAATATAAACCTATTTACACAGCTTCTTCTGGAAGCCTGATGCCGCGGATGCCGTCCTAATAACACCTGCCGCTCGCGAATGAATAAAGATGCAATAGCCGGATGAGTGGAAATGTAATAACCGGAACATATGTACCAGAATCACCGAGATGGCAGACACATTATTAATGGACGCTCTTGCCGGATACCTTACGGTGTTTAGGCCGGATAATGAAATTTGGCGCTCTTTGATTACCGGATAGCCGGATTGCGAACGGCAACGTTGCCGGATTAATTAAAATGTAGGAAAAGTGTACAGAAAGGCCACGTAGCTATGCTGGGAGGAGGAAATTGTTACCAGATAACTGAAGGTCTGGCGCGTGGACGATTACAGTATATTTAATTAAAATGACCATAAATGGCTTCCACTTAAATAGTCTTCGCGGCTTGGTGCCCTCTTTTGGGAATGAAATAGTCCATCCACCCGGATTGGTCGGTAGAACGATAGCCTCGCATTTTTGCCAGGGTTGGCGTTCGATGCCCGGCACACACAGAGCCCAACTCCTTCTCCTCACATCCCCCATCCAAGTGAGATATGCTATCACCGGCATAACGGTACATGAGGTTAATATATGGTTAATTTAACTGGTTAATATAACCGGATGAGTTGGGCTACAGAGCTAGCAACCGCTCTATTGTTTGCCGGATAATTTAAATGTTTTTTTTTAAGCCGGATAATGAACGTAAGGCGAAAGATAAGATTAGTAACAACGGCCCGATGCCAGAATGTGTTGACCTTGTTTAAACGAAGTTACAAATCTATAACAAAAAATATTCTAAAACCTATTAATCATTATTTTAGTAATGCAGAGCCTGGTGTGGCCAGTTTTAAATGTCAAAACATTGACTTAGTTTAGGAGCAATAGACCATACGAGTCAATACTTCATACGCGTTAATACACCATACAGGTCAGTATACGGATCAATACACCATATGGGGTAATGCATAATACAGATCAATACACCATGGGGGTCAATATATCATTCGAATCAATGCATTACGTGGGTCAATACACCACGTGAGTCAGTACACCTTACAGGTCAAAACACTACGTGGGTCAATACACCACGTGGGTCAATACAACACACGGATCAACACACCAGATGGATCAATAGACTATACGAACCAATACACCATATAAGTCAATACACAATACACGCCAGTACACCCTATGGGCGAATACACCATACAGGTCGGCACACCATATGGGTTAATACACCATACGAGTCAATACACCACATTGGTCAATACACCACATGGGTCAATACACCACATGGGTCAATACACCACATGGATCAATACACCACATGGATCAATACACCACATGGGTCAATACACCACATGGGTCAATACACCACGTGGGTCAATACACCACATGGGTCAATACACCACGTGGGTCAATACACCACATGGGTCAATACACCACATGGATCAATACACCACATGGGTCAATACACCACATGGATCAATACACCACATGGGTCAATACACCACACGGGTCAATACACCACACGGGTCAATACACCATACGGGTCAATACACGGAGGGGGGACAAGATGATCACCGTTGTTATACAACAGCCTCAAGGATAGGCTTACTGTAGCAAGGCTCCGCCAATACAGTATATACACTTGTTGAATACCTGAAGCCCCACGTAGGTGAGGACTGTAGGATGTGGTGGTGCTGTGTCCGGTTACAGAAACCGGACAATGAGGGGTGGTGATTGGATACTACGTGTGGGTAGGTCTGTGTGTCTAGGGGGGGTGAGGGGGTTCGATTCCCGGTGAGTACCTGTTAGACTGACTGACTGACTGATTACTCAGTACGGGGCAGATGTCCTCGACTGACTACTCATATAGCAGTGACGATACTATGGGTGGAGGTGGTGGGGGGGGGGGTTGTGATTACGATGAGAGAATGACAATGGAGCAATAAAGTCCGGGGTTTACCCCTTGGGGGGGGGGGGGCATAAGTATCCAGGTAAACTTGTGACAAATAAGGAAGAAACTTCTTTTGAATACAAAATATATTGACCCTAACATTTTAATAAACGTTTAAACAAACTTAAAAAACAGTTAAGTTGAAAGAATGCTTTAAACCAAAAAATATTAACCTTGAAGTATAATAAAGTTATATGATAATCTTTAACAAATGTAAGTTAAAAATAAAAAGAAATAAGGCTTTAAGAATAATCTAACTAAAAGTAAAGCTAGAAAATAATAATTAATTCATATTATATTATTAACCATTAATTTGTTTCTTGAGAAATTAGGACGAAATACTTTCCCTGTATTTATAAGATATTGTGTGAGGCAGGCGTGGTGTGAGGCAGGTGTGGTGTGAGGCAGGTGTGGTGTGAGGCAGGTGTGGTGTGAGGCAGGTGTGGTGTGAGGCAGGTGTGGTGTGAGGCAGGCGTGGTGTGAGGCAGGCGTCGTGTGAGGCAGGTGTGGTGTGAGGCATCCGTGTGAGGCAGGCGGTATATGAGGAAGTAATATCATGAAGATTGGAGAATGAGGCACAGGATGTGGCCAGTTTCCGCTCAGGTGACTTTATCGTGCTGAAATACACGCGATGTTGGCGATGAGCAAGAGCAGGAGGAACAGGAGCCGGAGGGTCAGGAGCAGGAGGAACAGGAGCAAGAGGGGTCAGGAGCAGGAAGGAAGGGAATTGGAGAAGGTGGAAGGAAGAAGGAGTAATGCAGGTGGGTATGATAGGGACGACCCCCACGACAGTGGTTGTGAAGGTCGTGAAGCAGAGAGATGGACGAGGACTGACGAAGAGAAGACATATGAATATGAGGGAGGAGAGGGGGAAGAAAAATACACGGTAATGGTTATAGAAGAGAAGAGGGTAGAAGCGACAGTGAAGGAGGATAGGGATTAGCATGATCTGGATACACTGTAGGGGAGTGAACGGTACACAGTAAGGGTGTGAGATATACTGTGTGGAGTAGTGACTTGGGTACACTGTTGAGCTCGAACAGGAGTCACCTGGATTCACCTGTTTTGTTATTCTATTTCTACTTCTTTTAAGGACTTTACTTTTCCTACGTGCGTGAAGGCACTGTGTGTAAACTCACACATTGTTTTTTGTCTCTTCCCTCTGCCTGGTAAGATGGGATGCAGGTATCCTGGGCTCCTGTACAGTCCCTGGCTAGATGTCCCATCAGGCGCTGTACCGGACGGGCTTCTTAATTACCTGTGCTTCTTAATGGCGTGTACAGACCTATAAAGTCTGTACCTGAGGACTAAGTGTTCGTTTAGGTGCACACAGCAGATCATTACTCGAACACGTATAAGCTTCACCTTCTGGGCTACAGTCGCAAAAATTCCATCCCCCCAAAAAAATAATTTGCGTAAGGAAAGTAGTCACTCGAGTAGCTGCGAAGATTTGTTTAATGTCGTGTTCGATCCTGTTTCTAATCGCCGTAACATTGTTGCCAGACAGGAATGTTTTTATTGTAGCCACACCGGAGGGCGAGTCCAAGGAGGGTCACACCCGGTTTGGTGGAGGGTGAGTACTGTCTCTCCAGCGTGGGACACATCCACGTGGGGGCAGGGGGCAGTACCGTGGGTCTATTGTGGGCCACTCCACAGGGGAGGGGACAGGCAGGCAACACTGTGTCAACAGCTGTATTGTGGACAGCTGCTCCAACTGGCATCCCACTCACATATTTCCCTCATAGTTCCAATGTAAATAATAATACATAAAACAACTGTACGGTAAAATAAAATGGTAAACAAACAGTAAACTAATATAACTTAAAACTACTCAGTTGTGCTACTACTTTATTGACTCACATCAGACATTGTCAACATTGTCTTTAATACAGTAAATTGTAAAGTTCAATTACAAGTGCCGGGACAGACGTGGGTGAATCTGGTGTGACCCAAACATCTTATGAATACAAAGTTACGTCGATACGGGAGACGCTGAGAGAAGAAACTCTTAACACTTGAAGAAGATATAAAGCAAAGTGTGAACATCGTGAAGAATCTTGGTTTATCATCTTCCCCCTCCACCTGGAGCCTCAGCTCATCGTGGACACATGAAGTAAACTGATGATCGAGTCCCTTGCAGCTGCCGTAGGCTTTTGGATACTTAGCCTTGTGTAGCTGACTTGTGAAGGTCCAGGTATACTGGCGGTATACTGCAGCGGTATACCACGCTACACAGCGACGACCACGCTACACAGGTAAGTCAGCTGACTCACTCTCCACCCTCACTCAGGTCTACCTACCCGCGCTGCTGCATGCTGGCATACCATTAACTTCTTTGCATGTATATACATTCTATACATCATCATAACCACCTCATTCATTAGCCTGGGAGGGGGAAGGCGTTAGCTAAGACACACAAAAGGCGAGTAACATATCAGACGAATACAAATATTAAACAACACACATATATATTTATATATAACTTTATTTATTTCGAAAACTGTGTGGGGTCATATTATATCTACGGGGGATGGACCCGCTGGTAAATTTCACTGGTCCTTTCACCAGTAATATCTTCCAAATATATTTCTGAAGCTGTGTGTTCCTTGTAATGCACAAGTTACATCTTGATAATAATAACACAATAAAATATCAGAATACAAAAGACGAAAGAGGAGCTACAGTTGGGTTAGTGGTCAAAGAAAATGAACTGTCGGTGCGTTTGAATTCTTCAGTCAATCACCTTCATGCATATAGATTTATGCCTTTGTTGCGCGGATATCCGTTGTCAATGTATATATATATATATATATATATATATATATATATATATATATATATATATATATATATATATATATATATATATATATATATATATATACTATATATATATACTCCTATGGCCCCAACTAATCCTTGGGTGTAGTATTAAGTATATATGTATTTCTTTCGTACAAATATCATTTTGAGTAATAGTTTTGGTCTCTAAACTGGTGGTTAGAGCAACAACGGGAGGAGAGATACTATCTCTAAATTCAATTAGTGTGTTTAAATTGAGTCGGCGTGAAGAATTCGAGGGGTGTGTTGGAAGAAACTTGGGCTCGTTGCCCCTCTCCGTACATGGCTCCTGGCCACCCAAGATGAATGGTGATAAGCTCTGATAATTGCTGCACTCTCACACACAACACCACACCCCAGGCACGCACGCACGCACACACACGTGTATGAAATCACACACGCAGACTCCATACATTGTTTTAAATGTAGATGTGATAGAGTCCAGTAGGCTCAGGAACCTGTACCCTAGTTGCTTGATGGTTCAGAGGCGGGACCAAAGAGCTAGAGCTCAACGCCCGCAAGCACAACTAGGTTAGCACACACACACACACACACACACACACACACACACACACACACACACACACACACACACACACACACACACACACACACACACACACAAACGCGTGCTGAAGAATACAAAATTGCAGAAAGAAAATGAGTGCGTTGAGCTCGATAAATGAAGGCGATTTGCGGGTAACGGAGCGGTGCCGCCCAGCGAGGGGCAGCAGATGACGGAGTGTGTGTTTGTAGGTGGAGCTGTAAACTGCCCCTGGACTCCCAGACTTACCTGGGAGTCGCTTTTCAGAATTCGTCTGCCCTCAAGCTGGGACTGGGACGAAGCTCGGGGCCAGGCTTGTGTTAACTGATGTGAAGGGCTGTTGTTTGGGGAGGTGTACGTGCCCATTACCACCTGGTAGGTCTGGCAATTCCTGCAGGAAGTTGTCTGCCCAGTTGCCTCTTGAAGATCTCCACTGGAGTTTCGTAAGATCTCCACTGGAGTTTCGTAAGATCTCCACTGGAGTTTCGTAAGATCTCCACTGGAGTTTCGTAAGATCTCCACTGGAGTTTCGTAAGATCTCCACTGGAGTTTCGTAAGATCTCCACTGGAGTTTCGTAAGATCTCCACTGGAGTTTCGTAAGATCTCCACTGGAGTTTCGTAAGATCTCCACTGGAGTTTCGTAAGATCTCCACTGGAGTTTCGTAAGATCTCCACTGGAGTTTCGTAAGATCTCCACTGGAGTTTCGTAATATTTCTTGTATTTGGTGGACTATGGGCCTCTGATGCTCGTCGTGTTTTTGTGTCAGTGGCGCCTCTACGTTTTTCACACTGTTTATTCTGCATTTCCTACCGTATATTTCCACCTAGTCGTTAAGTCGTCTGCCATCATTATTGACAGGTTCTTTACATGTATATTTTTGTTCCACAGTTCAGTTTGCGTCCTGTAACCCTTTAAGTTCTGGATGTGCCGACCTGTCTGGAATGTATCACTGCTGGAAATCATATCATTTTATGAAGACCAACCACACACCAGAAAATGAGGAGACGATCAACGACGTTTCGGTCCGTCCTGGACAATCGACTTGATAAAGGTCCATGACAGACCGAAACGTCGTCGTCGTCTCCTCATTTTCTGGTGTGTGGTTTAGTCATTATATCTTAAGCCACGTTATTGTGACTCATCGTCTGCATATCATTTTTATGTTGCTCACTGTGCAGGGCCTCATTAATGCCTGTTTGCGGTTTTATAGCATCTTCTAATGAGGTAGTATTCATGCTGATTTTGGTGTCATCTGCACTGGATGACACCAAGCTTGTTAATGATATTTTTGACAGCTCATGATTTTTGAGTGCTCGTCCTCATCATATAAGGATGAGAAGTAGTACAAGGACAATTTCTTGGGGTCAAGAGCTCTAAAGAGCTCGAATTTTATTTTGTTTAGTTCACCGGGGATCGTATCCCCCCTAACTCTTCTGTGTGTGTGTGTCACAACTATGAATACCTTCCAGTTCATCCTCTGGATGGATCTGCTGCACTGGTCTTTGCAGGAATTCTATCTGTCTGGAGGTTTTGTAACTGCTCACTACCGGGTCCACAACTTGTTCGTCCAGTTATAATGCTCACTACCGGGTCTGCAACTTGTTCGTCCAGTTATAATGCTCACTACCGGGTCTGCAACTTGTTCGTCCAGTTATAATGCTCACTACCGGGTCTGCTGAGTTATTACCCCCGGGAGTACCATAAAATGTTCACCACCTACTGCGTTTTGCTCCATAACTGGCGCGTTTCTGAATCTACGGAGTCGAGGGGTAATCTTGAGCATTATTGGAAACCCATTTTTCATTACGGGGCAACGGGCGGAGAGGCAGAGTGGCCATGGTGGGCGACGGCCGCCTGGTCAGTCGTCAGTCACCGCGCTCTCAGATTGGTCTCATCTCACTGTCAAGTAAGATGAGACCAGTCTGAGTCTTCTTTGGCTGCTACAACACCTGTGATCGCTGCTTCCCTGCGCTGACTCGCTGCCACAACACCTGTCATCGCTGCCACCCTGCGCTGACTCGCTGCCCCAACTGTCATCGCTGCCACCCTGCGCTGACTCGCTGCCACAACACCTGTCATCGCTGCCACCCTGCGCCTACGAGTAAAGTTTATATTAATCACCAGTAATATTGATCATCCAGTGATGGTTTTGTAATGATTCCCGTATTGGAAAGCGATGACGTTTTTGTCGAGTGATGGCCAGGGGGAGGAAGCCTACACTTCACTCCTGCAGGGGTAGGGGGACCTGTGTGGGCGGGGAAATTAATGGTAGGGAACGAACAGGGGGGTGCAGGGAGAGTGGTACAGGGAGGGTGGTACAGGAGGATGGTACAGGGAGGGTGGTACAGGGAAGGTGGTACAGGGACCACCTTGTAAGCTTGTGGGAGGAGAACAGGGAGAAGACAAATTATAATATAGAGTAAAATCAAAGGATGGGGAGGAGAGTTAGACGTTGATAACAAAGTCAAGAGTGAGAAAAAGGAGAAAGTAGAAGTGGAAGAGAAGCTTGAGTTACTAGTTGTGAGAAACTGTGTCCTGGGGCCGAGACACCTGTATCATCTGCCTTATACACACACACACACATCCAATACTATTGCCTCGAATAGCTTCCGTTTAGAGTGGTGAAGTAGACAATAACAGCCCTCTTACTGTGTTGCACCAATATGCACTCTATACGTCACCCATGACAACAGTTGTCTGTGTTAGTTTGGAGTCTTGCATGCGAGTCTGGGGTCGCTGTCATGCGCTCCTGTCACGGGAAGGCTGCTCTAGGTGCCCCGGTTATTGCTCACAGGCAGGAACCAGCCGAGGGAGCGTTGATGTAACTCTGGTCGTGAGGGTCGGCTGGTGGTGTGCATCGTCGACTGGGAAGGGAGTGTGCACCGTCGGCTGGGGGGGAAGGAGGTGCACCGTCGGGTGGTTCAAGTCTGCAGCGGTTCATAAGAGGTAGGAAAACTAGGAGGGAAGGTTGTTGTTTGTGTTGCATGTGAGGAGGGACGCCGGAGTCCGGTTCAGTGGCCGAGCGGGCGAGGGAGGACCACCTGGCCGGCGGGCGGACAAGTTTCCAGTGGGCCAGGGTGCTTGTGGACGCACGCACGCACGCACGCAGCCACGCATGCACACACATACACAACACCTCTTTGCTAAGTGTCAATTTAAATTCCAATGTATTGTTGATTTTACGTTCAGTGGTGAACAAGTCAAGTTCATCCGTTGACTGCCTTTTCCGTGGAACTTGGCATCTTGCATTTTCACTCAAGTAACCTAACGTTTATACCCTTTGTGTTCTTGCAAGCACGTTAGTGCAATTCAATTTAATGTCTACCGAACATGTTAACATTATATAAACATTCCTGTGGCGCAAGGGTAAACACAGTCGAGTCAGAGCAATGAGGTCCTGGATTCGATTCCCGCGGTAGGACAGAAGCATGTGGGCAACGTTTATTTTTACCTGAAGCTCTGATCATCTACCAGTCAATAGGTACCTGGGAATTAGTCAGCTGTTGTGGATTACATCCTGGGGAAATGTCAGTAGTTGGCCTTACAGGCTTCCTGTCCTCGACTATGGAAAACCACGAGGTAAGCCGTATTGAGGCACTTTACTGCCTGCTATAGCTGGCCCACATTGGAACCTGCAGTGAGGGTGATTCTTGAGGCAAGACAAGTGACAGCAGAACCATTGTGCTTATATTCCATGATGCTCAGAGTTTCATACCCAAGGCTGATCGTTGCTGTAGGTACCGTTGCTTTGATAGCGAGAGTTCCTGCCCAGTCAATCACTACACTGTGTCGTGATAACTTCTTGGTTCAATGATATTCTCATGGGAATAGGTAAAGAGAACATGTTCATTGAAAGGCAGAGTAGAGC